GTCATCTCATTTACCAAATTTGCAACAACATAAGAGTTCTATGAATAGAATGAGTTGTACGAAGACTTGGTAGTGGTTGGTTTTTTTTTATGGAAACAAACATAAAAAAGTGAAGGAAAAGAAAGGCAAAAGAAAAGATAGAGGGAATGAGATGTTCTTTTTTTAATCTTTACTTTGAAAATGAAATAACTTACCAGAAATGGGTGCCTTGTGAGTATCCCTAGAAATTCCATACCTCCCACACCCCTGACTCACTCAGCTGCCCCCACAAACATAAAAAGAAAAGAAAAATGAAACAACAGAAACTCTCTCTCTCTTCCACAGTTCCATCTAACCTAACATGCAGTCAACTGACCTTTCCTTGTATGTTAGGGCCAAAGGATAAGGACCATGACCAACAAGTTGCTAACCTTTTCTCTGTTTGGTGGGGCAAAGGATAAGGACACTGTGACCTACAAAGTTGTTAATTGAAATTAAATTTATAGGGTGTAATGTTATAATATACTATCTGATTATTTTTCATTGATTCAAAATTTCCCACTGGAGAGAGTCTCGGCAAATTGCATTTGCAATTTATTTGACACCACATAAAAATATTTATTTTTAGCATGAGGCATCACATAACAATACCTCTTTATTACTCAACTAGAGCAATGCTATACTTAAGTTTGATCATTTACGAATACTATGTGATATTGTACATTTTATTATTCAATGATATAATAAGTTTATAAATATGCTATGGATCACAAAAAATATTTCACGAAAATAGTTTTGAAATTATAGCTAGATGACTAGATGATTGACCGGGTAAGCTGAAAAGCTTAGAATTGATTGGCCAGTCAATTGACAACAACTTCAAGATAATTTTCGTAAAATTTTTTTTGTAATATTGTTGATAAGCTTGACATATATAGCACTAATATAGAATAAAGTTGCGTCAAATAAATGGTGAATATAGCATTTATTAGGCCTCGAACTGTTAGATTGCTAGCCCCTAGCCTCATTCCAATCAACTTTTTCATTTTGTATTCGCTGGAACATACTCCTTCCTCTTTTGGGGTATTAGGGAAGCTCACACTTTAATTATATTAACCATAAATTAGACTAACTTTGTGAGGGAAGGAACTTTAAAAAATCATTTTTGCTTTAAACAATCTAAGCCAATGCTAATTCTAGATATATTAATTTTAATAATCCATGCCAATGCTTTATTAACAAAGCATCTTTACCTTTGTATCAAATTATATATCATCATTCAATAGATTAAGACATTATTTAATTTACAGAAATGGAATAATCATTTTGTCAAAATAATTATTCTTAGATTTGATTCATTAAACAAAATGAATATATGTTGTAAATAGAATAACTAGTTACCAACTTAAGAGAATGAACAATTCATTTGGAGGTTAAGAATAACTATTTCATTTTTACACAAAAATTATTCTACTGAATCAAACACAACCTAAAAAATTTACCTCATTTTCACTATAGGAAATTACATTTTTTCCGACTAAAAATTTATTCAGTAAAAATCTATTTTTAGTTGGCAAAAGTTTTCTACGACTAATTTTTTTGGTCGCCACTTTGATTGCAAATTCATGGTTGGCAAAAGTAATTTGCAACTAAAAAATTTTTAGTTGGGAAAAAGAATATATTTGCTGACTAAAATTTTAGTCATCAAATATATAATATAATTATCGCGACTAAACCATTTTGTAACTAAAAAACGTTAGTCACTAAAAGTACTAATTTTCTTTATCATCAAATGTTGTTTCATATTTGTGTGAGTGTGTTTTGAGTTATTAATTTCTAATATTATTGTTTCTTACAAATTCAAGTTAACTGTGAGCTTTTTAAATTGAGTGCCATTGACACAGATCATGCACTAATAAATAAATAAACATATGATTCTTTGTATGAAGCATATGATTCTCTGTACTGTAAACAAATAAATATAAATAAAAATTAGCAACCAAATAAATAAACCAAAAAATATATATATATTACACCTTTGCTGATAGTTCTTCCAATTGACACATACAATGGGTATAATAAAGAAGCCTGATAAAAAGTCTAAAACTTTTAACAAATATAAAACAATAATTTCATGGCTTTTCATAGAAACCCATATAAACATAAACCAGACTAGAGAAATCCATAGAAACCAAAATAAGAGAGAGATAAAGAGAGAGCATACCATTTGTTGAAGGATCTCAGGAGTAGATGGTTGTAACCAATGAAACCCTAAACGATCTCGTTTGTCCATGCCGACACTACAACAAAAAACACAAACGACGACTAAAAAAAAAAAATTCGTCGCTGAAAGTGCATGAAATGGCGACTAAAATGGAATTAGTCGCCGAAAAGCAGGTTTTTAGCGACTAAAAGGGTTTAGTCGCTGAACAGCGTGTTTTTAGCGACTAAAAGGAAGTTTTGTCGCCTAATATACGGTTTTCAGCGACTAAAGTTTGTTTAGTAGCCAAAAGTCACGGTTTTTAGCGACTAAAATAATTTAGTAGCGAAAAGGTAGGGTTTTGGCGACTAAAAACAGGTTTAGTCGCTGATTATAGCAGTTTTGCCGACTAAAAGCAATTTAGTCGCTGAAAGTGGGGGTTTTGCCGATGAAAATCCATTTTAGTCGCCCAAAGTAGTGGTTTTGGCGACGAAATTTCTGTTTAGTCGCCAAAAGTGCTGATTTTTAATTGAGAACTTGTTTTTTTAGCGACAAATAAATAATTAGTAGCCCAAAATAATACAATTAGCGACTAAAAAATGGTTTTAGTCGCCAAAAGTCGCCTAATTTTTTTTTATTAAATAATTTATTTTTTGACAAAAATTATATTGAATTAAAAAAATTATATTTATAAATATTATTTTGTATTAATTGTGGTTAATATAGTATATAAATAATATATATTGCATATATGATCATGTGATGATGTATTGGCATAGTGGAGGGAGTGTTGTGCAAAGGATTTGGCGTGTGCAAAGGGATGTTGCAAGTTCGAAACCTGTTGGGAGCAACAGAGGTGAAATTTTTTTTTTCCTGAAAATACTTTCAGCGACTAAAGTGAATGGTCGCCAAAGGTATTAATAATAAAATAAAAATGAACTATTGGCGACTAAAAGTTTAGTCGGCAAAGGTATAATTTCCAATACAAAAATTGACTATTGGCGACGAAATATTTAGTCACTGATGACATATATATTGGCGACTAACAGTGTTTTAGTCGCCAAAGGCATTCGCGACCGTTTATTGGCGACAACACGGGCGACTAAACTTTTTTGTCGGAAAAAGTGAAATTTTGACATTTGGCGACTAAAATCGGACCTTTGGCGACTAAAAATTTAGTCGCCAAAGGTGTATTTTCTTGTAGTGCGACTTTCGAAGTTTGTAATCAACGAAGCCCTAAATCATCTCAATCGCTTATTTATATAAATATAACTAAAACAGGGGAGATGGTTGATGGAATGAAGGAAATCGAGAGAACGAGAGGCTAAGAAGGTGTCTGGGAAGAAGGTTGAGGAGCGGCCGAGAGAGAGAGATATATGAAAAAGAGAGGCCGGTGGTTTTTGAATTTCAAATTTTGAAACTCATTAAATTTTGGTGGTGACTGATTGTATGTGTGTGATAGAGAGAGAGAGAAACAGAGAAAGAGAGAAGAACCCTGCTTATATTCAAAAAATGCTGTGAAGAATTCTTGGGCGCTAATCTCAATTGTTTCCCACTAATTTATTTAGTAACCAAACAGTTAACAAATGGTGACCAAAATTTTAGTCGCCAAAAGTAATAATTTGCCGACTAATTTTGTTTTTGTCAAAAAAGTTCAGTATACCACGACTAAATCTGTTTTAGTCATCAAAATTGCATATTCACCGACCAATTTTTTGGTTGCCAAAGAGTAATAATCAAATTATAGTTGTTATTAGGCGACTAAATTTCTTTTAGTTAGCAAAAATTAGTATGCACGACTAAAACAAATTTTAGTAGTCTAAAAATTAGACTAATGCAGACTCTTATTTTTTTTTTTAGTCGTCAATTATGGCATATTTAGTGACTACTTTTTTTTTTAGTTGCCAATAGATAATATACATCTACGAAAAACATGTAGTAGCTAAATCCTAAGCCAACACCGACTAATATATCTGTTAGTCACCAAATTTAATCGCCAAAAGTATAAATTGTTGTAGTGTTTATAAAAGACATTAAATTTGAAGAAGAAGCAAAGTTGATACATACAATCAAAAATGGATTGCCAAGAGAGAGGGAGGGAGAGAGAGAGGAGGCCATTTGGGAATATCATAAAAAATTCAAAAGTCAACTTTTAACTTATTTTGAATCACATCACCTCTCTCACATAAAAAAGTTAAAAAAATAACAAAAAAAAAATTAACTTTTAACCATCTTTCCAAAAGACCATTTGTGACTATGGATTGTGCTTCCATCACAATGTTCTATTCATTATCTAGGTACAATAACAAGAAATAAACAGCATTGTGCTATTTTCGGTTTTATGTTTGGATTAAGGTCTATAATTTTGTACAAGAAATGGTGAGTTGAGTGATCAATCAATGAGCAGTTCTAGGAACCAATAAATGGAGACCTAGATATCTATCCAAAATTAATAATAAAAGGGTTGAGATTTATTCACAATATGACTTACAATAATAACTTTAAATATGAATCATAGATTAAAATCACTTTGATCAATTTTTGATTCAAAATTCAAGATGGTGGACTTTCTGGTGATCAATATATAGTTTGAAATTTCATTATAAAAAAAAAATTACTTCAAAGTTTCATTCTCTTTTAAAGCTATCACAAAGATTTGGCCAATAATCACTTAGTAATATTACACATACAAAAAAATTTATTTAAAATTTCATCCAAAAATATTAATGTACGGTTTATATTTGTGCATATCTCACAGCAAAACAAATCTCAGTCATAAATCAAAATTCTTGTCGTTTTTCTGCAAGCTATGGACTAAAAATAAATAAATAAAAAACAAATAACAAAAAACAAATAACAAATAACAAATGGAGAGTAAATGTACAACATTACCAACAATTTAATTAGGAAAAAAAATAAAATTCAAAATAAGATTCTGGCAAGAAGAAAATACACCGAACAAACGCCAAACCACCTCAGCTCAATCTCAACTTTTTTTTGTACACTGCACCATGTGCACCGTAGTCACTGAAAAAAAAAAAAAAAAAAAAAAAATCTCTCAAAAACTTAAAAATAAATAATAAAAAAAACCCAAGATTTTTTTTTTTTAAACTCATCTTTAAATTTTGTATAGGATTATTATGAGTAAATCAAAGAGTGAGTGAGTGAGTCTGTATTCGATTCTGTTAAAATCATCAGTGTACTTAGGAGTTCGTATCACGTGCCGTTCCTTCGGCGACCGACGCCAGCTTCTGCAGATTCAACCTCACCACCGTATCAGCAAACAGATGCGTGTCCGCTTCCGTATTCCCTTCTGGCACATCCACAACGTACGATTCCAAAACAACGGTCCAGATCCTCCCGTCACGCTCGAACTCGTGCACGCTCGTCACCGACCGGTAATTCTTCAGCCGATGCTCACCCCCAGTAATACTGAACCCTGTGACGTGCCGGTCATCGTCCAGCAAATCAAGCCTCTCCGTACTGGTATCAGCCGGTAACCCGGAGATAACGTTGACGTCACGCGTGCAACCCACGGTCATGTTAAAACCTTCCTTGACGGTACAGCTCTTGATGAAATGCTTGTATGTTTGGGGCTTGTCGAAGCGTCGGAGGATGGACCAAACGACGTCGTTTGGGGCTTGGATGCGCCGGGCGAGGAGGGAGGAGCATTGGCCTGACTTGACTCGGTAGGTGTGGAACTCGGTGATGGACTGAGTTAGGACTTCGAACTCGTCCTGGGTTAGACCTTGTGGGAGGGTGAGGTGGTGGGTGGTGGTGGTGGTGGTGGTTTCCTCGGTGGCTGGTTGTTGGTGGTGGTTATCTTCTTCTGCCATTGAGGGAGGTTGGAGAGAGAAAGAGAGAGAGAGAGAGAGGGGAGAGTGGAGGTTTCTATAGAGAGAGAGCGAGAGAGTGAGAGAGGAGAGATAAGAGGTGGTTTTGTTTATAAGTGGGGAATTGTGGGAAAAGAAGGGGGTAGAATTGGGAATTAAGAAATAATTGGAATTTAATAGGCGTTATGATAGGTATAATAAAAAAAAATATCATAAAAATAATAATAAAAAAAATTTTACCGTTAAATTACACATATAAAAAAATATTACACGCTAAATGATTTATTTTCTTAATTTCTCATGTTATTCATTTAATAATGATATAATGATGGTAGTGTGAGTGAATATTTTCTTAATTTCTCATGTTATTCATTTAATAATGATATAATGATGGTAGTGTGAGTGAATATTTTGGAGGCTAGAAAGGTGTCACTAAGTGGTGACGGCAGGTGGCCTCGCCCATTTCCAACCACATCCATTTAAATTTATACATGTCAATTGATCGTTCGATTGTCATTTGGTAGATGTTGATTGACAAAAGTAACAATTATAATTAATAAAAGTAATGCTAATCATTCGGAGAGTGATTTAACTTACATAATTCAAATGATTCGAACACACTTAAATTTTATAAAGTTAAAAAAATGAGTAAAGTTATATATATTGAGTTTTTTTATTTTATTTTATTCATATGAGATATTATAATAAAACTTAATAAATTATAATTATAGTAATGAAAATCAAATATAATGTAAATTTTTTTACAAAGAAACCCTCAAAATGAGAGAGAAAATTTCAATTAATATACAGAGCATTGTTTTCAAATCCGGACCGGACCGGGCCTTGTTCCGGTCCGGTAAATCCCCTAAATCCGGAGTGGGGCCAAAATCAAGAAAACCTGGCGATCCAGTGGTCGAACCGGTAAAACCGGTGACCCAGACGGGGTCGGGAGGGTCAGACCGGATTTTTTTTTTTATATTCAGTTTTCCTTTTTTTTTTTATTTTCTTTCTTTCTTTCTTATATATTTATATATATATATACATATATATATATATATATATATATATATAAATATATTTCAAAATTTTGACTAAAAATTTTTACTTCAAGAGTCTCCTTTCATAAAGAACACTCTCATTGGAAGCTTGAGAAGATTATGAACGTTTATTCCTATTTATAAGAAAAGATTTTTCAAAGAGAACTTATAAAATTCTATGTGGGATTCAATCAAATTATTTGAAACATATTGATTGGAGGGAGAGTTGAAAATTTCACTTTCCTTGAAATAAGTGACTCTTTTTTTTACCAATTATGACTTTATTAAATATTATTAATAAATATTATGCAACAATTTTTATTTTTATTTGATTATTTATATATATTTTTATTTATTTATAATTTATAATTATATTTTTTAATTATATAATATTAATTATGACGTCACGGTTCGACCGCTTTGACCCGACGGTTGAACCGGTGACCCGTCCACCCGATCTCTTTTCCGGTTCGCTCACCGGTCCGATTTTGAAAACATTGATATAGAGAATAAGATTCACACACAAGTGAGAAGATTCAAACTATTAACCTCCTAATAAGGTGCATGAGTTCTGGTCAATCAAGCTAACCCCATTGATTTATATATAGAGAGTTATATGGTGAAAATTTTAATTTTTTTATGAATAAGGATTAATTTACGTGCACTTCGACTAATTTTGAGATTCACTCAAAGCTCTACGTGGATTGGAAAAATCTTAGACAAAGCTCACGGACATACTCTTAAGGAGTTGATAGTAGGAATTGAATCTGAGACCTGAAGAGAGCACACCCCATGCCTCTAGTTACACCCACTAGACCAATCCCTCCAAACACTAAATTACATCTATTAGGCCAACCCCTAGGATTGTGAGTAAAAATGCACATTGAAAAATCATTGAAAAGTGCATAGAAAAATTGATTAAAAAAGTCACCATGGCCATCGGCGGTAGTTGTAGTTGGTGTTGGTGTTGGTGGTGGAGGTGAACATATATGTGAACTTGAACAAATAGGTGAATAAATTTGTGATCTTTAAACAAATAGACGGATAAGTAAACTTTGAACACATAGGTTTTCTTTTGAACAAATAATGTTGTTTTGGTCCAAAAAGAATTTAAACTTGTGCCTATTAGCCAATAGTTTTAGGATTGAATTTTGGTCTTAGTGTTTTTATATACAGAGTAAATTACAAAAACACTTCTTGAGATTTGCTTAAAATACGAATTGCCCCCTGTGATTTAAAAAATTACAAATACTCCCTGTCAGAATTTTTTATTTAACAGAATTAATTGAAAAGATAAAATATCTAATTGTTCACCTATACAATAATAAAATTAACTGAATTATTAATTGAAATAAAATTTTAAGATTATTAAATACTGTTATTTAACTTGGTGGTTTATTAATAAAATGACTTATTTGTTATGAAATTAGAAACCTTAGAGGGCATAATGTAATTTCTAGAACCATAAGAGGTAATTTATAATTTAAGTAAATTTCAGGGAATGTATTTGTAATTTACCCTTATATATATAACTGAGAGGATTTATTGAAAATATAAAATTACACATATTTTTAAGTTAACAAAATCCTTTAAAAAAATTTAAAATATTTGTCACACATGAGTGAATAGATATAATTGCAGCCTGTTTGGATTGGATAATTTGGTAAGAAAAGAAAAGAAAAGAATTTTTTTTTTTTTAATGGGTCCAGCTTGTCTCATATTTGAGATCAAGATTGGACTGTCCAATCCAGCCTATGGGCCCATGTTTTGGGTAACATTTTAATAATTCGAATCGTTTAATGTGTAAAACTCATCGATTATTATATCTCTCTAAAAAAATCACGTTAATCGGATATTGATAGTTATTTGATCGGATCAAATTTTTGTTAACCGTTTATTTTTTTACCGTTCATTTTTTTATACAAATTTGATACAATCAAATATCTATCGATATCCGATCAACGTGATTTTTTACAGAGATATAGTACTCGACGAATTTTACATATTGAATAGTTTGGTTATCGAAACGAAGCCCAAAAATAAGCCAATGGACCTGACTGGACGATCCAATCTTGATCTCAGACGTGAGACAAGTTAGACCCTTTTATAAGTACAGAGGAGAGAAATGGAGTAAAATGTAAAGAAAATTTTCTCATATATTTTGCATCTATCCAAAGTGGAGGAATTATGGGAGAAAAGAAATCAGCTAAATAATATTTTGTTATGATACCAAAACTGCTTTTTAGATATAGAACAAATGAAAAGATTAACACCTATAAAAGATTAATATGATAATATAATATGATATCATTTCTTTATATATATATATATATATAACTTAAGCAAATAAAATAGGAGGAAAATGATTTTTTTTTTCCCTCTCCTATTTCTCCAAACAAGAGAGAGAAAAATCACAATCTATTTTTTTCATATATAAATTATTAATTACAATTTAACAAGTGTCCTATCTTTAAAAAAAAAAAAATACACTTAAAAATTGTTTCAATTAGTGTATTAACAATCAAACGGAATATAAGAAAACAAAATTGTAATACCCAACAATGATATGGAAAAAAATTAGTCAAAAGGAATGGAGAGAGGACTAGCAACCCAAAATCTTGAAGTGTGACCAATTGGGAGGGACACCTTTCTTCCCATTTTTGCAAAATTTGTCATCTTTGTTCCCATGTTGTTGTTCCTGCTGCTTCACACTACTTGGTTGTTTTAGCCTCTGCTGCACTCTTTGAGGCTTTCCCTTTGCACAATGCGCAAATTCAACACAACAAATAGATTAAAAGTTCAATTTGATATAAAGACTAATTATTTGACCTATTTTGAATAACATTATATGTTTAATTCACCTATTGGGTAATTATTTAGTAGTTCCAAGTCAATAAGAACAGTAGTCATGAAATGGGTGGAGTTGACCTGACCCACCTTAATTGGTAGAGTAAAAGACAAAATTAATCTCATTTATCTTCTTTTACCCGGTTATATTAGTCAAGAGTACCATGTGCACATGCCATAATGGTCCCATGGAGTAATTAGGTTGTCGGAGAAAGCAACTTGTAAGGTACTAAATGATGTGTATTGTTCACATCATAGTTATCATTAAAAAATGAATGAAGTTGATAGGGGGAAAAAAAATATTACCTGGAACTCAAACCTATTGGTTTGGGCACAATGTTGTTGTTGATTGTATATAGGCTTTGGATTGTTGAAAGTAGGAAATGAATAAGATAGTTCCCTTTTGGATCCATAGCCAGAGGCTAAACCCCAAGATTTCTGTATTGTTGAATGTGGTACATTGCTAGATTCGATCTCCAAGCACAGCTGTTAAAGTACATATAATCAAACATAAGATCAGTATGTGATTTTTGTGTTAGCATGCATTCTTTTTAACCATTAGTTTTGAATCAAATTTCATACAAATTTTTTGATATCGTGATTTAGCCTATTTATGCAGTTGTGACAATTTGTCATAATTATTAACTAATACTCCTAACTCAACCTCTATTGTGAGTCTATAATTGATGAAGATTAGATTAGGCCACTAAAACACGTTAGGCTAAACTTAATGGCTGCTAAAATCTGTTCTACAATAGTTATTCTCAAGATTCAAGTCATATCAATGATGGATAGTATTGTCATTGAATCAGGTCCCGTGACAATAATATTAGAAACTCTTTATTTTTATATAAGACTAGAATCCTCTATAATAATTCATATTGCAATAATTCATCATGAAAGAGTATATCATAATTTTGAAATCATAGTTTGATTAAATTATTTGACACAGGCCTGAATTAGTCGATCTTCAAGAGATGCCACGCGATCCAAGAGTGAGCCTTTGGAGTTGGCCTCCCTCACTGCCACATCCAACGGTTTGCATTGTCTCTCCACTCTCCTTACCAAACTCTGGTTGCTCCACCTCCTTAATTTCTCTTTTCCTTCAATAAATTTCACCTATATGTATACATACACAAACTCATAAATTTTTATTTTTTATTTTTTTTAAATGAGAGGAGATAAAAGAAGAAATAATTTTATTGACAAAAAGTTTTGAAGATGAATCTGAAATATAAAAATTAAAAAAAAAATAATTAAAAAAAAAAATTTAAGAAAAAGAGGTGGAAAAGAAACTCACAATAGAATCCAAGCGATCCAACCTTGAAACAAGAGGAATGGAGGAGTGACATCGTTTGTTGTCCTCACCCATCTGCTGTCACAAGCCAACCTTACTAGAATGCTTGTGTTTGTTTGTTAACCCTTTGTCATCTTCTTATATACATTCAATAGTATTGAGAGAGAGAGAGTGAGGAATTTTTCCTATAACTGTTACACCCTGATATAGGGGCGTTGTTAGTTAGTATTTGAGGGGGCTGGTGGATCGAGTCATGGATTCCTGTCTATAGGTGTTCGAAATCACGTTTTGTGACTTAATTAATGATATTTTATAATTTTTCATATTTTTTTTGCTATTTTTTGGGATCATGTAAATACATAACCTCATTATTGAACAGATATACTGTTATGATGAAATTCCCAAAATACAGTTTTACTTAGATTGCTTCTATTTTATGCAGTTCTCTCTCTCTCTCTCTCTCTCTCTCTCTCTCTCTCTCTCTCTCACACACACACACACACACACAGATCACTAAAAACAGATTTTGATGTGGAAAGACACATTGAAAGGTGAAAATGGAACTTAAATAAATATGGTTTGTCAAAAAAACCTTCTTTAAACTCTAAATGTATCTTATAGTATCTCAAGGCATGTAGAACCAACCTACACTGAACATGATTCAACACGCCATGAAAAACATAATTGATTCAATGGCATAAAAAGAGTTAACATTCAACCAAATTCTTAGTTGTCACCCCAAACTAGACCTTGCTATCTCATATGCCAAGAAGCACGCTGCATTCGCTGGAACGCTCCGAGCCATGGCAGGTCCAAAGCCCCTGTACAGACCTTTCACTCCCTCTGAGGCCATAATCTTTCTAAAAGCATCGACTGAACCAGAGAACTTCGGATTTTTGTAATCATCGACTTGAATTACACTCTTGACAACATCAGTTGGATAGACAGAGGCCCAGAAGGAAGCTCCAGCCAAGCCTCCAGCGACAATCAAAGAACCTCTTCCCAACTTGGAAGTGTCTTGCCCTCCTGCGAGGTATTGCTTGAGGCCTTCATAGACGCCAAACATTGCAGCATTTCCTGGTATTTCACGTGCCATAGTGGGAAACAAGCCCTTGAAGAGACCTCTCGTACCTCCTGAGCGGAGAACGTGCCTAGCTACATCCATGGGCCCGCCATATTTCACAGCCACAGCAGCTGAGCCAGAGTCTGCCAGTGCACTCTGGGCTTGCAACCTGAGCAGTTCATTGGTAAATCTTAAAAGTTCCAAATAGAAGAGTTTGAAAATTAAAAATTCAGGAATTGTACAGTGCAGATTTGTTTTGAATTTGTAATCATTGAAGATAATCATGAGCAAGGAAAATTCAAAAACAAACTTTGATGAGAGGGAAAAAAGAATGTGTAAATAATCAAGTTGCAGTTGATCTGAAACATTAGGAAGGTTTCTGAATGGTTAAAAAATTACTCATAATCAGGATTTCCAATGTTCAAAAATCGAAAGACACACAAAGTGACAAATAGAATTTGTATGTTAAAATTTTCCTCAGAAAATTAAAGAGCACCATAACACTGACCTGCACTTGATCAATTCAGTGGGGCAAGCCAAAAAGGAGACTGCAACTCCAGCCCCAGCACCGCAAATGACCTGTTGGTTGACTGTAAGAGGGGCACCAGGTTCAGACCTCAATAAAGCTTCCATTTGTCCTCTCACTGTGAAGAGGACGGCATTGAAGGCCGCCACTGTGGCAAGTGGTGCTCCCATACCTTTGTACAAACCCCTTGGGCCTTCTGATGCTAATGTTTGCCTGACAGCATCCATTGCACCCGAGAATTTGGGAGGCTGGCCTGGAAGTGGGGCGGGTTGGCTTTGGAGTTTGACCTTGATGGTATCAAAAGGGTGCCCAACAATCAACTGTGCTGCCCCGCCAACAGTCCCAGAAACTAGGTCCTTGGCTACATCACCCATCTAGGAATTAAAATATATGAAAAATAGTCAGCTTGGAACATCTGATTCATCTAATTTACGACTTGAGGAGAAAATCGTTTGACAAAAAAGCAAGTACGACACAGTATGAGAATGGCAAGAGGATGAAAAGACTGATTACCAACCCAGAAGGCAAGCTTATTTATATCATCCAGATTTATGAACAGTGACCATCGGTCACCAACAACTGGGGGGAGCTTGTGATTTACATAAAAATGGTAAAAAAAAGACCACTAAGTGAAGAATACATTCTTGACAAAAGAGAAAGGAAAATCCTTGTTGAAGGCCTTAAAACACCCCTGTTATAAAGCTTTGCAGCTTTTACCTCTAGAGGCAATGCCATAAATGATTATTGATTTAAATTTCTCTACAAGATGACACCTTCGAAATACTTGGGATTAAGGTACCTGAAACTGCCCTCGTAGTTGTGCTAGTGTGGGCTTACTCCAACATGGGACTAATTTTATTTGGCCCTGAAATTCTGAAACTTATTAAACAAAATTCTTGAGAACATATGTCGTCTTTTACATCATGGTAACAACACATTCTACCACACCAACATGGAGATAATGCAAAACTACATGCTACACTAATGCGTATGGCACAGGAAAATGATGTCTCCTCTTTTTTCCTATTTTCTCTTTTTATTTAAAAAGTTAGATAATTCATTGAAAGGCACCAAAAAAGGGATGCAACTCAAGTACACAAAATGTAAGAAAAACCTATCTTCAACAGAAAAATGTCCTCTATTATCTACAAAATCTAAAAATGTCTTGAAGCTACAAAGGACATATCAATCCTCCACAAAAACCAAGCACGCAAGAGACTCAGAAAGAATTGCTTTTTCAATGAATAAACCAATTCCCTACATCTTCACAGGCTCTCTATTTGTCTCCCTCCAAATGTACTGTTGTGCCTCAACATCACTTATATTGGTGCAATTCAAACATATAATACACCAACGCATAAAAAACCTCATGTTCGCATAAGAATCTTGTTGCAAGAGTTTCCACGTTCAGCTTATCTTAAATTTGCACTCACAAAAAGGAAACACATATACAGTAATCTTGAGTATCTCAATCTAGAGTACTTCTAAAGAAAAGATGAATATTTGACTAATTTGCACTCACATATCTGAATAGAAGAGATGAAAAGAAGAAGCTTGACTGTCCTCTTAAAAAACTATACGCAATAAGAGCAATAACAATCCAGTCGATTTTACGAAACACCCAACAAAAGAAAAAGCCTACTACTAAATAAGCACAACTTTGCTTATGCTGTGTTTTGTTGATGAATTTGGGTAGGAATTTAAAAATGGAAAAGCAAAAAGTATGTGAAATGTGAATGAGTTGCAGTTATATTTCATTCACATTTTCCCTTTCCATTTCCAAATCCATTAACCAAACAAAGGCCTTAGGAAACGCAAATTTTTTAATTCAACCCAAGCAACATTTTTTAATTCAACACAATATCATTTACATTTCCAAATGATTTCATTATATGACAATCCAAAAGCTTTAAAAGGTTTGTGTTTTGAGATTGAGAACCCCTTTTGATGAACAAACAGACCGGCTCAAAATGGATGCAAAATATAATGAAAACCAAACACCATTTTATACAGAATTGATGCCAAGAGCTCTGTTTGATGACCCAATGATGAAAAGAATCCAATTATAGATTATGTAAGGTTGGAAATAACGAATATAAACATTTCTGAGAAACCCATGAATCTTACCTAGCCGATTTTTCTTGACCCAGATAGAAATTTGAAGGAGAAGTCCCAAAGAGTAGGCTAACAAATTCAATACCCAGAAGAGAAGAGGGAGGATGATTTTCAGAGGCAGCTCTGTGGAGATGAGTTTGTAAAAGAGAAATGTGAGAAGTAACAAATTTAAAGAAAGAAAAGAATAGAATCTTCAAAGATTCATAGCCACATGAGAAAGCTCAGTAGTGGTTGGTCCGGAGTGGATTTCACACTCTATATAGAGAGAGAGCCGTGGGTGAGATGCGAACCAGAAATGAGACCGCTTGAGATGAGATGCGGACACAACCTATGGTTTATTTTTTATTTTTCTTATTATTAAAAAACGTACTGAAATAGAAAAAAGGGGATTTATCTAAATAAGTTAATAAATTGATTTTTTTTTTTTAAATTTATCTCAAAAAAAGGAATCAAAAACATTTTAAAATATTCTTGTTATCAAATGTTTTAAATTTTAATATGCACTATAGAATAAGACTTCATTTTAACGTTTAACTTGAGATCTCAAAAATTCTTAAGCAATTACTGTGTATAAGCGGAGCGAATCGAATGTCAACCTCTCTTCCCTCATAGAAATTCCACAGTGTGAGTTCCTTAGCATCTCCGATCTTCCAATCAATTTTTTCGTAGAAAATTTAATTTGGCATGAACTATTCCAATAATTTTATGGGCAAAGCACCATTAAATCCCAAATTTAAAAATATTAAACCATTTAGTCTTGTGTTTTTCTTAAAGATTGATAGGTCCTATTTCAATGTTAAAGATTTTACAACCCATGGTTTATGCGTGTAGGTTTGAAATAATGAGGGTAAGTACGGGTTTGTGTTGATGTTAAAATTACTCAAGTGTCCAACAACGAAAAATAGTGTTCTTTTGTTGTCCCTCATACACGATCGGAACTATGACGGTGAAGATGGAAGGTTTTGGATTTTGATTCCAGTGTTGCAGTGATTCACTAACGTGATTTCTAGGATTGGTGTTTGGTTTGTTAACGGTGATGTTAATTTTCCAAATTAACATTAGCATACCTCACAAAACCCTAGCCTGCCCAAAACCCCCTTTATAGTAATACTTTGCAATGTTCGTGACGTTGCATGTGATAACCATTTCGTCCTTGCATTAGTGGTGAATACAACATCTACACAATATCGACACTGGAGATCGTTGCGGGAACACATGGCAACAAGTTTGTAGTGTATGTTTTTCTGATGTATGTATTGGTTTTTTGGGCATGGATTGGTGAAAACGTATGTGGTAAGTTGTATTTCTCCGTTGATTATATGTCTTGTATTTGCCGTTGTGGTGATGTTACAGTGCAGGTCGAATGTGGGTTTGTGTCAATAGGAGTGCGGGAAATGGAGTACTGTTTAGTGTTTGATTTTGTTGTAACCTTCATCATATTATGGCTTTGTGATAATGTACATTGGTGTGTTATTGTGATTAATTCAATTAGGTAAAACATAATCTCTCACATCAATCCACGCAAATCCCCTCGAAGAAAAAAAAAAAAAAAAAAAAAAAAGGCAATGTTACAACATATCTTAACACACACATAGTAAAAATCAAAATGAAATCACAACATGAGTAAAAAAAGTAAACTCCATACACAATATATTAAACAAATATATCATACCAAAAATAAAAAGGACTAAATGGTTTAATTAAAAACCCTCAGGACTAGATAGAGCAACATTTTTCAAATTAGGATTTATGAGTAATTTTTCCTAATTTTATTTTATTTTGTTTTTTGTTTTAAAAAAAAAAATTATCACTTATCCCAAATTTCAATTTTTCATCAAATTTGACTAAAGCTTCTGTTTGGGAAGAGATTTTTTGGACTTTTTTGGCTAAAATAGGTACAAAAAATAAAATAGGCTATTTTAGCCACAACAAACAAAACATCACATCCAACTCATAATCATTATACTCTTTTCTTACAAAAAAAGTCAAAAAAATTAAAAAGTCAAAAAACTCTTCCCAAACTAAGCTTTTTAACCCAGACTAAAATAATCAAAGAGTTAAAAAGCCAATCCACTTCCCAAACCAACCGTTTAAAATATAATTTCTAATATTTCATCTATTCAAATTGTCATGTAAAAAAATAGAATATAAGTTTGGGAGAAAAATTACAACACCACCATGAGGACAAAAAATTCTTCACCAAAATCACGTACTTAAAATATTTTGTTCACAACTGTAACTCGCATTTATAGAAGTGAATAAAATATTTGAAATCAATTAGGGGTGTTTTAGAAATATGGTTAAAAGTTGACATTTAAATTTTTTTTTTTTTGTTGACTTTTTTGGACTCTTTTATGTGAGAGATAATATGATTCAAAATTATGTAAAAGCTAACTTTTTAACTTTTTTGATTTGTTACCAAAATAACCCTCAATACGCCTATCTTTTTGTCAAAAACTCATGTACCCCGTGAAATATTTTCGTAAAGTGAAATGTGTTGTTTAGATTCAAAAGAAAAATTTGTTGTGCACACCTCTAAAATGAATGTGGTCTACACATTTTTTTATTTTTATTTTTTTTAGATTAATTAATTTTTTAATCCCAATAGTACACAAATTGTATAATTTTAATTTTTAATATTTATATTATGTTAATTAATTCTTAATACATAAAAAATATATTTTTTTTTTGATTTGGTCTCTCAATCCAACTCCATTCATAACGTTAAATTCAAAGGTAAATGTAAAAATATAATTAAAAATGTTTGGTTTGTATTTTGAAACATGTTTTTAGAATAAAAATTTCAAAAATATGTTTGGTTACAAATTTTTTTAAAAAAAATTCTAAAATTACTTTTTCTCTCTATTACACATTAATCAATCACTTTTTCTCTCTCCTCTCTCATTCTCAATCACTTTTTTTCTCCCACACATATCTACTCAATTACAACAAAATATCAAATCATCTCAAACTTCCAAACTCCAAAACTATTTTCAAAATATACAACCAAACAAATCAAAAAAAATAAAAAATAAACTCTCAAAAAAAATTAAAAAAATTTATCTCAAAACAAAAACCAAACACATCAATATTTTCAATTCCTAAAATATGCAGTATGCGTCCTTTTGGACCCCTAGTGTTTGAATTGTGTCAACCAGTCTACAATGTATAAGAAAAAATGTTAATTTAATCGTCATCCTAATCCCCTCTCCCTCATTTAAACCAAGAGTGAAGAATGAAAATTATAAGTACACATAATAATAAAAATTAAACTAACTAGTTCTAACTTAGATGGCCACCATAACTTTCTTAAGACTTAATCCCAAGGAAGTCATGGATTCAATTCTCCTTAGAAAAGTTGAATTAAGGAAGTACAAGCACTTAGGTGCTTTGTCAAGGGTGAAAAAATTTTCTTCCATAAGTACTATTCTAACCACTAACAACTAACATTTGCCGATCAAAACATAATAATAATAATAATAATAAAATTAAAAGTAGCAAACACTAATTCATTCACTTAAAAAGTTTCTAGATCATGCTCTGAAACTCCCACTACTCAAAGTTCACATTCATTCACTTTATTCATCATGGATTGAATTGGAATTGATCATCTCTATTTTATGCTGTTCTAGTCTTTCATCATTTCATTTATGTAAAGTTTTTGGGTTCTCTGTTTCATTTTCTGAATCTAAGAACCAGCAATGAGCCCCATGGGCCTACCAACATTTTGAGTAAGAAGTGAAAAATGCAATGATCTTAGTATGAGTGCTCAATGAAAACCAATGTATGAAGTTAAAGCTTATTCCTTTGTGAGCCTTTTGAATTTATGGAGTTTTTTAGAAGCATACATGTCATATGATTGGAGCAAGGATCCTCTAGAGTGATTTTTTCCTAAAGTTTTCTAGAGTGCTACATTGTGTGGTTGAGATTTATTGGCAAGTCACATCAATTTTTCTGATGTGACTTGTCAGTAAATCTCAACCACACAATGTAGGACTCTAGGAAACTTTAGGAAAATTTCACTCTAGAGGATCCTTGGTGATATGATTGGAGCAAAGATTAACATGGAGATCATAGTTGTGACTGTGATACAGACTACTGTCATACTTGTTCTATGCACATGCATTATCTCTCTTTATGTGGGGCTTAACTAATCCAAAACCCACGCAAAGTGTAACTTCCACACAGATTAGGCAAATCTCAAGCTTGACATAACTTTAATAGATTATTTATATCTTATATAACTTTATTCATTGTTATATCCTATTAATATGGTGTGTTTACATATTAAATAGGATCACACGAATTCAAAAAGTTAACTCGAATTCAATAAGTCAACTATATGATATGATTTCAAACCAACGTATCATGTGACATGACAAGAATTGCTGAGATAATAGCAGAAGTCAAAGCCCGATAAAAATATGACCCTAATGTTGAGTGGGCCTTCTTAAATAACTTGAATAGATAAAGTCCAATCTAATTAGGAAAAGAATCCTAAGTGAAGAATACTTATGTTTGTTCATTCTGGATTCATAACTTTCTCAATTGGTGTTAGTGTTCCAAACAACATAGTCGTTAATTTTAACATTGAGGTGAATTCCAATCCACAACATTTCTCAATTTGTGGTAGTGTTCTAGACGACATAATTGTTAACTTTAACATTGAAATGAACTCCGATCGACAACATCGCGACCGGATAGATACTAATCTCAATTTTGCAAATGTGAAACTTTTAGGCTATTCATTTTCATCATTAAATACCATTTCCCACCTCAAAAGAAGATAGTTATGTCAACACAAGTGATATAAATTTTTTACACCCACATAATATCCAAAGCACGTGGTATAGATTTTTGTCCACATGCCTTGTTTGGGAACTTAAATTTGTAGTTAAAAAGTCACTATAAATTATCATATCACTCTCTTTAACTGTTACCAAGAAACTTGCAACCGTACAAGAACAAGACCAATGGGGATTTGTTAATAATACTTTCTATATCTACTTATCTGATAACAGCTTAATTACTTTTAACTGATAACACCATAATCTCACTATGTATTGGCACAAAAACTGATAAATGAAACAAACAAGCTATGCCTATTGAGGTCATGCTCAAGAATCCAAAGTTTTGACAAGGAGATCTGATAAATAAAATTTAAAAGTTAGAATACAACTTGGAGGAAGTCCAAATGTACAGAAGATGGGCGTTAGGTAGGTCTCACACTTTTCTCTTTCCATTATGCGAAAATCTTCTCTGTTCCTAACATAACTGGACAATTTGACACAAAATGTATACAATCGCAGTACTTGACAACAAAAGTTGCATCCACAGGTGGAGAAAGAGGAAGCATTTAAATTATGCAACAATAATCTACAACCAAAGAAATCATCACTAACAGCTTACAAGCAATCAATGAAGCCAACATGCTATCTAGCACTTGGAAAAAAGAGTTGCATATCCATCAAGAAAAGGGACAACTATGAAACAATTTCTCCAAGGTTGCTTTTCATCAGCTTTATACAAATGATGGTGCAAAATTGAAAGATGTATAAACCAACAAAAGATGAAATAGGTATATACATACACACACACACACACACACACATATATATATATATAAGCAATAGAAAGACAAGAGAAACAAGAAAAGAAAAGATTCCATGTAATTACAAAGATGAAAAGTTTGTTCCCTATAGAAAAAGTATCTAAGTCATTATTGGTGAACCGGGTATACACCTATGTTTGTGCATGTTGTTGGGGTCTATTTACAATACATTGTTTTGTACCTAAGTCTTTGGAAACCTATCATTGAAAGGGAACCTATTATTAAAAAGAACAGCCTAGTATTCATACCATTCCAAGGGCAAAAGTTGCTTTATGACACCAAGTCAGGCTTTGGGGCATCCTCATTTATCATAGGAAGACAATGTGAGAGCAAGTTCAACTGACGGTGAGAATTTATCATCAACACCGTGGTTATTTTGGTCACTTGCTATTGAATTTGGATTCATGTCTCTGTTGTTATTATTATCCACAACCCCGTCGAAGGCGGGCACTAGTGCCTGTTTTTCACTTTCCTTGCCAAACCCTAATGAGAGACCAAGATCTAGGAACTCAGATTTCATACTATCCTTGCAATCTGATGTAAGCACTTGCCACCTTGAGGAGTTCAGCCCCAACATGCCATCCACTGGACCTGGTTCTGCTGATGAAAATGGAGACCCGTATGTGGTCCTTGAGTTGTCAGTAACCTCCATGCTACGAGCTTTGCCACCGCTCCAACTAACACAATCCATATTATAGTTACTTGCTTGGAGACTGGGTTGGTAATCTTCCAGCTTTCTCTCGGGAAGTCTGAATTCTTTCTGCAAGATGAAACACTACATTACCACAGCTCACAGGCACACTAAGCATAGACTGGAAAATGGACACTAAAAGTGGCACAAACACTTTTTTAGAGCTTTTTCATTCAAACTCAAGCATAGACTAGGAAATGGAGACACCACACACACAATTTGTAGGAGAGTTGTGTTGTGCTAGTGTCCTTGTCCGTGTTGGATATCAACACTCCTTGAACATCCACACACACGCTTCCAGCACTTCTTGGGCACATCGACAAGGACCATAAATAAAAATAAACTTAATAATTTTGGAAACTTTGTCTACACTTCTGGGCCAATTGGCTCACATTTAACAGGAGCATAGCGTGAGACCGTTGAACATGACTCCCCAAGTGTCCAATATTTTTCAAACACAAATAAAGAAAAAGAGAGTTTTTTTGTACATGTAGCATTTATAATTCAAGCATCCAATGGACACAATGGACACCTTCAAACATATAAGAAGAGATCTAGTTGTCCAATCATTGCCCATTTTACATACCTTGATCAGGTTGAAAATCTCTTGTTTATGATGCTGAGAGGGTGATTTATGATCCGGTGTTGGGCCGGGGTATCGACCGGGCAAGCTGAGGGCCCAGCAGTGCATTGGGCCGAGATGATCAACTGTTCACCCGGAGATGGGCTACCAGAACTTGGGCCGGGCAAGGTTTGGACTGAGTGCCGCCCCGGACCGTGCAGAAGTTGCTCCGTCGGGAAGTGACCGGTCAGACCAGGATGCTTGGTCCGAGGATGGTCGAAACCAGACAGACCGAGAGACCGGCGCTCGTAAAGGCGCGGTCAGCCGAGGTAGTTGATTGACCGGCGAGAAGGCCGATCAAAGTAAGCATCCGGGCTAGGCTCGGCCGGGATGCCGCTTAGCCCGGTCCACCGTTTGTTTATCCGGTTAGGCGCTTAAGGTATGAAGCATGGTACGACCGAGGTAGGACAGCTCGGCTGCCGAGCACCAGCTGTGCTGGCAGGCAGTTGAGAGCAGGTGATGAATGGCATGGTTTATGCTGACAGATGGGATAGCAGAGCCACATGTCAGGAGATGACAGGGAGTGGATATGGGGCTCAGAAGGTATATAAGCATGTCTGCGCCCCCCATACGCAACACACGAACATCTCTGTAAGAAATTCTTACACTCAAACACTCTCTCCCTTCTCTCTATTCCCACAGACGGCGCCAATTGTAGTTTAACCACAAGCTGGGAATCACTATATACCAGAAGCTCGGGAGCCTTCATTTGAATTGCGCTCTTGAGCCCAGCAAGAAGCGCCTCGTACTCAGCCTCGTTGTTAGACGCCGGGAAGCCGAGTGTGATAGAATGCTCAATGGTTAGGCCGTCCGGGGATATAAGAACGATACCAAGGCCGGCACCATGACGGTTGGACGCCCCATCAACAAAAAGCTTCCACATGTCCCCCACAAAAAGCTTCCAGCAGTCAGATGGGTCCTGAGAGTTGCGAAGGGCAATGGGATCACAACTGCTCGGCTGTGCGGTGTCAAGTTTGGTGTTGACTCCATCACTTCGGCCATGGCGACAACAGTGTGCCGTTCAATCATGGCCGTCCGATTCTCATCTCTCTTCGTCTCCAAACGCCTTCTCTCATCCACATCTTCCATAGCCAGAGCTCCACCTCTCCCGGGCTTCGTTCGGCCCGCACGGTCCACCTCCGTTCTCTCTCACTCACTCCGGATGGTTGTTCCCGGCGCGGCTCGGCTGAACCTGGTCAGGTGCAGGGTGAACCGGTCTGGAGGGTCGAGCTATTCGCCGCTCAACTCCGGTTCGAACTTCAGCGACCGACCGCCGACGGAGATGGCTCCGCTGTTCCCTGGATGCGATTACGAGCACTGGCTTATCGTCATGGACAAGCCTGGTGGTGAAGGCGCAACCAAACAGCAGATGATCGATTGCTACATCCAAACCCTAGCCAAGGTCCTTGGAAGGTAATTTCCCTCTGCATATATGTATATTTGTATCAATATTTGTAAAGATATGTATATATATATATGGAGTTTGTTGCTATCTTATTATTAATGCTGTTAGATTGTTAAAATGTTTTTGGAATTTACATTCTGTTTGGATGGGGTGATTTGGTAAGAATTCTTTCTTATTTAGTTTGTAAATTAGGTGAGAAATAATGGAAAATGGTAGGCACTGGTGAGTTCTGTTTGGATTGAGTGGTTTGGAGAGAAAAAAAAAATGGAGAGATACATATTTCTCTTACTTACTTGTTTGGATAAATTAAGTGGAAAGAAATGGGGAGAAATGAAATCCATTTCTCTTATGACCTTCCATTTCTCTTATGACCTTCATTTTTAATCTTTCCAAAAGTGGAAAGATTGGGAGAGAAAAGAAATTGCCAGATTCTTATATTTTCATAATATTAATTTTGTCTCTTTAAAAATAAAAGAAATAAAATGATTGACACCCATAAAAAGGTTAATTTAGTAATATAACATAAAATAATTTTTTTTCTTTTCTTTTATGAAATCTAACCAAATAAGAAGAGAAAAATCATAATCATTTATCACAATTATTATTATTATTATTTTTTTATAACTTAAATAATCATTTCTTTTATTTTCTCTTCTCTGATAGATTCCCAAACATAGTGTAACTCTCTTATTTTTTGCCTATTTCATTTTTCACTAAAAATGGTGAGATTTATATCTCATTACGCCAATTTGTGCAAGACTTTCTACATACGCTCCATATGTTTGGGCGTGGAAAATGTTTGTTATGATGGAAAACGAAAGTCAACAGATAATTTTTTTCATGGTCAATGGAAAATAAGTTTATTTAGGCAGAAAATATTTTTAAAGCTAAAATTTTATCACTATCACCACCTAAGAAGCATGGACACGGACACGTGACACGACACGGATACGACACGGACACGCCGACACGATAATTTTCAAAAAATGTAGGACACGACACGCGGGGGACACGCATGAAATATATAATTTTATATATTTATTATATGTTATATATATGAATATATCATTCAAAAATAATAAAAAAATGCAATATGACATTAATCCCTATAAATTTATATGATTTTTGTTTTATTATTGTATCTTAAGTTATTTTGTTCAAACTTATAATTAGTTTCACATGTGTCTAATTGATAGACATGTGTGTTTAAGAGATAGACATGTGTGTCCTCCAAGTGTCCATAGAGTGTCCGGGTCTTTAAAAGATAGGACACGTTATAAAGAGTGTCGGACACGTGTCGGGAAAGTGTCCAAAGAGTGTCGGTGTCCGACACGGACACGACACGGATACGTTACCTTTTTAGAAGTGTCCGTGCTTCTTAGCAGGGAGTGGATATGGGGCTCAGAAGGTATATAAGCATGTCTGCGCCCCCCATACGCAACACACGAACATCTCTGTAAGAAATTCTTACACTCAAACACTCTCTCCCTTCTCTCTATTCCCTCTAAGGTGTGTGCTAACTTGATCGTCGGAGGGGTTTTCCGGCCACACACTGCCGGGTAGCTCACCGCTATTGTGCTCGCAGGTGATCGGACAGAAACGGAGCTTGGAAGAAAGGAGTACGGGCTTGCCGGAATATTTGCTCCCCGTACAGATGCTTATTTCATATCTTTGAACTTCGTTAATGTTATTTACCACTATTTCATGTACAATTTATTTGTCTCCGAATATAAAATTTGCTCTTATGCTACCTCTCCTTTTGGCTCTATTAAATTTATAACCTCACTAAAATTAATAAATTTTTATTCTCAGCCAGTGCTTTTACTGCCAACTGCAGAATAATGAATTGCAGTGAAAATTAAATGAAAAATTAAATGGAAGCATGCTGATTTATCACAATTAGGAAGCCAATTTATTTGTTATTATTAATTAATTGATAAAGATATCTTACACTTATTTTCCTTCAATTTAACAGTTAGCCTTTTCTTTTCTTAAGCCTACATTCTTACTGCCAAATTATTATTATTATTTTTTTTTAAAAAAAAAAAACTCATTAGAATACAACTCAGGTTTATGACTGCAGCTGTGCACAATTGAATGCAAGATAAAGCTGGACACACATACAGAAAAGCACAGTTGAAACAAAATTTACCTGGGAGGTAACTGTATGTTGCATATCCCTGCACAACTGGTTTTGCATTGGAATACTTTTAGGGATGGCATCATCCGCACTTGATCGCTGGTCAAATTTTGTTTGTAAATGGCTACATTTCTGCTCCCTTGAAGATTGTTGATGTTCATAATTCCCATCCCTTCCACAAGAAAAAACAGATTGCAACTCCTGAGGATCAGTCGAGCTAGATGACTTTTGGGTGTTGTAGAATAACTTAGATGCAGATAAACACTCCCTTGGCTTCCCAGAAGAGCACATGTTTTTGATCCCAGTGGACAAATCTTGGCCTGAACGAACATTACTTGAGCCATGGATAGATGGTTTATCCTGAGAGCTAGGCATGGTCTGTTCATTGCTGACTCTCCTTCCTCTAAATACACCCCATAAGAAAAACAACGTATTCCAACCTGCATAAAATGAAACATACAATTGAGCAAAGACACTGCGGCCTCGTAAGCTTATGTGTTTGATTGTGCAGGTGCATGGCCCAATCAAATAGAGAAGTCTAAAAATAGCATGCAGATCAATTATTACGCTGGGATTTTTCAGGAAGCAAGTTGGATGAGAATATTAGCAGCTCAATTCCATCAACATCCCCTTTAAGAGCTAAATCGTGATTAATCATGCATTCCATCAAGCTCCTGTAGTTACCTTCGTAACTGCATGAAAAGCATTTCAAAAAGTCCCTATGCATAAAAGATAGTACATTGAATGTATATGTATGAAAGTAGCACACCCAAACAAACCTTGCTACATCTTGTGCAAAGAAATAAACTCCAATGCTATCTTCTTTGGGATGATTTTCCAGGAACTGGGTAGGCCACACACTTGAGCGAGACACTTCCTCCAAAAGGACTTTGCAAGGAAACTTCTTCACTACTTCAGGAACTTTAGGTGAAGCGCATGTAGACAAGTGGGCTTGAATCCCATAACAGAAACTGGGGAGTCTTCTGCTACTCTGTATTTCAAATCCACCTCTGCATGATATGTCAGAGAGCCTTGTGGATGAGAAATTCTCAAAATGCACAGCAACTACTTACACTAAAAAAACCAAATTCAACGATCGACAAAATAAAATATGAGAGAAAGGGAAGACATCATACTTCCAAATAAAATCGAGCTTTGGAATGGCCAAAATGCTAGATGCATTGGTTTGATCACAAAATATTGGGCCACAATCCTTATAATTACTTCGGTTTGCTTCCTTTGAATTCTTCGTTTCAGGAACAGAAGCCTGAGGACTTGTAACTGGGCAAGACTCTATAGCTTCATCAATATTTTCACATTTACGTGAGTGTGCACTTTTGTTGCCTGCCAAAATGTGCTCCCTAGCAGAACTGAAATAAGATGTCTTTTCAACTTTTGGGCTTTTTGGCCCAGTTAAATCAGAACTATTGCAATGTCTACCAGCAGCCAGTGAAGCACTCCTCTTGAATCCATCTTTACCAGTAACTACATTTGGCTTCAATTCACGAGAAGAGTTGGACTTTGCAAAAGAAGATGGAACTCCAACCACTTTGGATACACACGATTGCAGTTTCTTTGCCACAACAGACCCATCTATCCACCAAAAGATGATCAATCAGTGAAAAGGCACATATTAAAGCATACCAAAAGCAAAAAATGACAGAAGAAAACAATAACATCAATGATTTTCAGAAAATAAAGGAAACTCCCACCTTGGCCATTATTTTGATAATTGGAGCCTTCATGAGCTAGATGGAACTTACGCTTCAATGGAATATTTGAATTCCCATGACTCTGAACAGGCTTCGGATAACATTTGGTTCCAGAGCGTGGTGACATAGTTTCAGAATGAGATGCAATTGCTTTGTCATTTCTTGATGCAGAAATACAAGAACCAGCCATTTGTGAACTAACTGGAGGGTTATCTAATCTGGCTTTGTACTTCTTTGGACTTAAGTCATGCTCTTTACCATTTGCAAATCTCTTCAAATCCTTGCCAAGATTATTATTTGAAGAGAACATTTTAGTTTTTGAGTCAGCAACCTTTGAATGGCTTGAGCTTACATTGTTAAATGACAGTGATTTACTCATCCTTCTGACAATGTCAGGCTTTCTATTGTCACTGGCAGCAGTTTCCAAGGAAAATTTCTGCTTTCCAAGAATATCTTCCCCTGGTGCTTGGACCTTCAGTTTCAAGTCTGGGATATTGAATGAATTTGACTTGGTGAGTAAACCTGTAAAAACCAAAATACAAACTCATAGAAACCAAACACAAAGTAAACAATCATGCTGATGAACATAGCATCTACTTCATATCATAAATGAAACAACTTTCCCAGAGTAGAAGAGAGGCTAGAAAATTACCTCGTGAAATCTGACGATTCGTTCGAGACTTGGGTGAATTAGAAAAAGAAATCATGGATGAGGGTGAGCGCTCACTGAAAGTAGGTACGTGACACGTCGGTTTTACCTTCACATTATCCACATTCTTATGCAGAGAACCCTGAGAAAGTGGACTTTTTTTGCAAGGGTTGGACATCCTTGGAGATCCAACACTCGTTTCAAGAGCCCTTCTTTTTGTAATAGAGTCAAATTCTAAATTGCCCGCAGGTCTCTTTGCACAGATGCGTGAAATTGAACCAACTTTGTCTCGTCTACTTTTCTCAACATCTGAGCCTTTAGTGTCCAATTCCACACAAGTTCTAATATTGGTATTTAGATTTCCAGCATTTTGGAGGTTTTTATTTGAGGATGGACCTTGCGGAGTCCTACCTACTTTTTCCAATTTATTTTGCTTCTGCTTCTCAATTTCTTCCTGAAGCAAGCAATCTTCACACATCCAATTGCCTTCAGGAACTTTTTCCAGCCTAACACGCATGCAGTAACTGATTGATTGAAAATAAAACAAAATGTGAATGTTCACATTTTAAAGAAAAGAATAAGAGAAGATACCAAATGAACTACAGTAAAAATAGTAATGTCTAAGTGACAAATCATTAATGGCTTACGTGTGCTCTGCCCCATCACTGCACTTGCTACAAGTAGCAAGAAAATCCTCCCGACCAGCATCACCACAGATATCACAAACTTTTACCTGTTTCACCATGGGCACCAACTAAGCAATGTTATTCTAGCGAGTCAATCACAATACGAAAGAATAGGTATTACTCAAAGCAATATAAGTACAAAGCAAGTAAAGGCTAATAGACGTAAGAAAAAAATGAAAGAAATGAAGATAGCATGCCTTCACCAACATGAAAAATGTAATATATACATTGTTTATTGACCTTGCATTAGTAGAATCTTATTACCATAAGACGTATTATTTGCGGTTATAGTATTTCCACCCTCCTTTCACTTACGATATATCAACAGCCAAAAATCACGAAAATATGTATGTTGTGGATATATATACACAAAAAAGCCAACCAACTCATGATGCTGACGGATTGTCAGTTCTATCCACTGATGCAAGGCACCCTAAAAATTCCTTAGGTTTGCAGGCTGAACCACAAAAGCAAATGGTGGATCAAGAAATTACAATAAGGCATATAAAGCTAAGGTTCGCACAACAGTGGCTTTCAAGACTACAGTTTAGATTCTAGTAATTAAAATTGTTGTCAACGATTCTTTTACAAGAAAACAAAGATAAAAGGAATCAAATAGAAGACAAAGGAATGAGCAATGTACCCTTTACAAGGGCTCATTAGAGCACCACAATCGAATCCATATAGATGTTCAATATTATTTCATTAACCAAAAAATATCACTAAACTCTAATCTTGTCATACAACATGCTTAAATCCACAGAAAAAATCCACATTACATCATTAATCCAAAAATAGGCCTAAATTATATCGTTAACCATAGAGGATGTAATTACCACAAAACTTACAATTATTTAAAGGATTAATGGATAGGAAAACAATCTCTCCCTCCCCCCATGGGGGCAAAAAATTCTCAACTAGATCAAAGAAAGTGGATAAAGCCTCCCAAACACCAAGAATAGCTCACTAAACAAACATAAGAAACAACAAAATCACAATTAACTGTGTACTGACTCGAATAACAAATAGCTTCAGCATGCAAACTTACTAAACGCCCTTATATTAAGATGTAAAATTTAGCTATTCACTTTTGATCTGGTTTCCCTTTCTTTTCACTCCCGTATTACCTATGTGGTTTGCTAAATGATCAATCATTGCTTACTCGGCAAGTCAAGCAAGTTAGGTCCTTTCCAAGACACTGAAAGTGGTTCTTCATAGTTAAAATTATTTTATTAGCTAATTCTCAGCCCAAAAAAAACAGGGTATCCCCATTTTTTCTCTTCAGTGACTTCGCAATTTCATCCTAAGAATGTCAGTCAATGCAATGAAACAGTGCCACCTAAGAAGCATGGACACGGACACACGATACGACATGGATACGACAAGGACATGTCGACACGCCAATTTTCAAAAATGAAAGACACGATATGTGGAGGACACACACGAAATATATAATTTTATATACTTATTATATGTTATATATAAGAACATATCATTCAAAGATAATAAAAAGTGCAATATAACACTTAGTTTTATAAATTTACATTGTTTTTGTTTTATTATTGTATCTTAAGTTATTTGGTTCAAACTTATAATTAGTTTCATGTGTCCAATCGATGGGCATGTGTGTCATCCAAGTGTCCAAATAGTGTCCGGGTTTAAGAAACCTTTAAAAAAATAAGACACATTTTGACGAGTACTGGTGCCCAACACGGACGTGACACTGAATTGACACAGACGTGACATGGATATGCCACCTTCTTAGAAGTGTCCATGCTTCTTAGAGTGCCACAATTATGTATCTTGCAAAAAAATTCAGTAAAGTAGTGGTACGTACATCTATCAGAAGATCCGATTCTCCACTACCCATGACAGTCTGAGATTGCTCTGGAGGTCCTTGTACATCAGGTACCTCAGGCAACACCAAATCTTCATTCTGGTCCAAATGCTTTTTCGCCACAGTTGATGGATCCCCCTCCTCGTTCACTTCAGTTTTGGGTTTAACAGATTCAACAATATCAAGTGCATCATGTTTGTGACCATCCAGACTAACAGTTGCCACTCTCACAAAGGATGATTTTTCTTGTTCCTTGGAGCACTCAGAAAGATCTCCCTGGAAGGAAAAAAAAACACAGGAGTTGCCCTTGTAATCATTAGTCATTTCATTACATAAGTAAATTTCCAGTTGACGGGAAAAAATAAAAAAATCCACACCTTTAGTGACTTAGCACCGGTATTATGAACATCTCTTAAGGAAGAAACTTCACCTTTTTCTGATTTTCCAGAAAAAGGTGCAGTCCCCTGTTCCCTAGCAAACTTGGTTGGCCTACAAGAGCAATTGTGTCCCTCTTTCACTTCATAATTGCTACTGTCTTGGACAGAAGAAGCTATTTGAACATCAACTGCCTTCTCAAGTCCTCGAGGAAGAAAACTACTTACTGAAGCTGAGCTACATGATACATTCTTTCTGTCTATGTCACACCTATGATCACCACTCATGTTTGGGCTTTCAGGTCCACTGATGCATGAGGTGTCATCACCATTGCATTCTGAAACCTTCTTCATCTCAAGCTGATTTGAGATGGTTTTATTACCACAAAAAAATTTTGGTTCAAGAAAGCCCTCATCTTCTGCAGCAGCGTGACTAACAGCTGCCTTTAGAAGCATTGATATGCCTTCAGAAGCATCAGAAACCCTCGGAATAGCTTTACTTTCTTCATTTTCAATCGATGAATCATGACTTGAACTAACACTGAGGGGATTACTGGTTTCACTACTTGTATGACGTCTATCACTGCATGCCCTGATCTCCAAAGGAGATGGTGAAACATCATCTTTAGAAAAACCTGGACAAGCTGCCTTTTCCTGAGAGATTTCGTCTGATAAGTTGCCCGACTTCCGTCCCATTGGAGCTAATGATGGATTAAAATATACAATAGATGAGAATCAGGTGGCAGAATTCAGATCTTGCACAAGATTTCCCACTAGTGAAATGCTTTTTAGATATATTTTTCACTCCTGGATAACCAACGACATAGAGAAGATAAAAATCACCAAAAAATAGATCTGACTGAAGAAGATTCATAAATGTAGATAGAGTCTAAAGGAAACAATAACATATAACATACAAGAGGAAAAAACAGAGAAAGAAATGAGGACTTCTCCATTCAAAATCAGAGAAACAACGTAGTATTCATTTTATGCCGCGTGCATCATGCGTGCATATTTACTAGTACGTGATGAGTATATTTTATAATGGTAAGCTTGCAAAATTACACAAGTTTATACTGCGACAATGACAAAAATTGAAGAATGCGATTAATATTAAAAAGCTATATTACAAAAGATGCTAAAACATAGGTAATTACACAATATACACAAGTACAAAAGATAGATGACTACCATAGTGTTTAAATGAATTCACCAGTAATAACAAAACTTTGCTAGAGTGTATACACATGCATACAGATTTAAATCAATTACCCCCAAAGATTACTAGCCTAATTATCTAAAAGCTTAAGCTATTAGAGAAAGGGGCAAGTTTATTATTTATATCAAATTCTCAACAGTACACACTATTTAAACAGATAAAAACACACACACAGAGAGGCAAGTAAGCCAATTTGATAACCTCCTTAGTATGTAGCATTTTCAGAGTGACATATTGTCATCTATTCATTAAAAACCAAAATTTGACCAATTTGCTTCCTTCATAAGAAAGACAAAGAGGAGACAAGTGAAACAACAGAGCATTCAAAAGTCGGGTCTACTACAATCTGATACAGACTACATAAAGACATACAGCTTAGGTCGCATTCCCCTAGTTAAACCTTACATTTAACAAAAATATATTCTACGGTGATATCTTTCTCTCTTTGTTTTCCCTTTTATCCTTGCCACAAATTAGTGTCCATTTTATGCCACGTGCATCATGCGTGCATTGCAAGCTTGCACACACCATGCATGCATTTTGTGCTACATATTTACCAGTATGTGCAATAATCATATTCTATAATTGTAAGCTTGCAAAATTACATAAGTGTGATACTATGACAATGATAAAAAATTGAAGAATATGATTAATATAAATATACTATACAAAGATGGTAACGATAAATGCTAAAGCATAGAGAGGTGGAGTTAGCTGAAGGCAAAAAAATGAATGTATTTAAGACACACCAAAATGTTACTACAAAACGCTCTTGACTAACCGAAAATCACAGCGAGAGGGGTAGTGGGCGGTTACTAGACTGGGCGACACGAAAAAGTGAATGTAGAGGCGGATGAGAAAATGGAGGCTAGATCAAAAGTTAAATTGATATTTTACATAGCAATTAATAACAACTTGGCTAAAATACATACACCTACATACAGATATAATATAAATCAACATTGGTGACATCAATTACCCCCAAAGATTACTTGCGCCATAAAATATGGATTACAACACTCAAAATATCATGTACCCCATAAAATATAGATTCCACCATATAAAACCAAAAGCTGAAGGTAGAAGCGGATGAGAAAATGGAGAGAGAGGTGGAGCAGGCCGGCGTGCATCATGCGTACATATTTACTAGCATGTGCGATCAGTATATTTTATAATGGTAAGCTTGCAAAAATTATAAAAGTATGATATTGTGACAACAACAACAATTGAAGAGTACAATTAATATTAATGTACTATACAGAGATCTATGTTACATGGATTCGAGTACGGCTGTCGATTGCTAGTGCATATCTAAGTGTTGGACACATGAAACTCTAAATTTTAGGATATGCGAATACGAAAAAAAAGGATCCAAAAATTAGATATGGATACGAGGATACGTTGTCTAATTGGAAAAATTAATATTATATATGCAAAAATAAAATTTATTCATGATACATCATATTATATACAATGATGTTACTATAATTTTAATATATTGACAATATAAAATATAGAATACAATGATTTTACAATATTTTTAATATATTGGTAATGATTTTACTCCAAAATTTATTTTTTCCTTAAAAAAAATAAATAAATAATTTTAAAAAAAAAACACTAAGAAGTATCCATCTCAAAACAGAAGGATCGGATCTGTATCATATACCTACACAAGTGTCAGGTCGCGTCGACATAGTACTTCAGCAAAGAGTCCATGTAACAAAGGTTTCACCATGCGATTATTTTGTCATTTCTTGATGCAGAAATACATGAACCAGCCATTGGTGAACTAACTAGAGGGTTATCCAATTTGGCTTTGCACTTCTTTGGACTTAAATCATGCTCTTTACCATTTGCAAATCTCTTCAAATCCTTGCCAAGATTATTATTTGAAGAGAACATTTTAACTTTTGAGTCAACAGCCTTTGAATGGCTTGAGCTCACTAAGATGCAAAGACACGGACAACGAAATTTTCAAAAAATACAGGATACGACACGTGGGGACACACATAGAATATATAATTTTATATATCTATTATATGTCATATATATAAACATATCCTTCTAAGACAATAAATAAATAAAATATAACACTAATTTCGATAAATTTACATTATTTTTCTTTTATCATCGTATTTTAAGTTATTTAGTTCAAACTTATAATTATTTTCTCACCATGAGATGCAATTATTTTGTCATTTCTTGATGTAGATATACAAGAACCAGCCATTGGTGAACAAATTGGAGGGTTATGTAATTTGGCTTTGTACTTCTTTGGACTTAAATCATGCTCTTTACCATTAGCAAATCTCTTCAAATCCTTGCCAACATTATTATTTCAACAGAACATTTTAATTTTTGAGTCAACAGCCTTTGAATGGCTAGAGCTCACCAAGAAGTACGGAAAGGACACGTGACATGACATGGATATGACACAAACATGGCAATTTTTAAAAAATACATGACACATGTGGAGGACACACATAGAATATATAATGCTATATATTTATTATATGTCATATATATAAATATATCATTCTAAGACAATAAATAAATGAAATATAACACAAATTTCTATAAATTGAAATTATTTTTCTTTTATTATCGTATTCTAAGTTATTTAGTTCACACTTATAATTATTTTGTCACCATGAGATGCAATTATTTTGTCATTTCTTGATGTAGAAATACAAGAACCACCCATTGGTGAACTAATTTGAGGGTTATCTAATTTGGCTTTGTACTTCTTTGGACTAAAATCATGCTCTTTACCATTTGCAAATCTCTTCAAATCCTTGCCAATATTATTATTTGAAGAGAACATTTTAATTTTTGAGTCAGCAACCTTTGAATGGCTCGAGCTCGCTAAGAAGCACAGACAAGGAGACATGACACGACACAGACACGGAAATTTTCAAAAAATACAAGAAACAACACCTGAAGGACATACATAGAATATATAATTTTATATATTTATTATTTGTCATATATATAAATATATCATTCTAAGACAATAAATAAATGCAATATAACACTAATTTCTATAAACTGACATTATTTTTCTTTTCGTATTTTAAGTTATTTAGTTCAAACTTATAATAACTATGTCACCATGAGACGCAATTATTTTGTCATTTCTTGATGCAGAAATACAAGAACCAGCCATTTATGAACAAATTGGAGGGTTATCTAATTTGGCTTTGTATTTCTTTGGACTTAAATCATGCTCTTTACCATTTGAAAATCTCTTCAAATCCTTGCCAAGATTATTATTTCAACAAAACATTTTAATTTTTGAATCAGCAGTCTTTGAATGGCTTGAGCTCACCAAAAAGCACGGAAAGGACACGTGACACAACATAGATATGACACGGGCATAACAATTTTCAAAAAATACAGGACACGACACATGGGGGACACACATAGAATATATAATTTTATATATTTATTATATAAATATATATAAATATATCAATCTAAGTCAATAAATAAATGCAATACTAATTTCTATAAATTGACATTATTTTTCTTTTATAATCATATTCCAAATTATTTTGTTCAAGCTTATAATTATTTTGTCACCATGAAATGCAATTATTTTACCATTTCTTGTTACAGAAATACAGGAACCAGCCATTGGTGAACTAACTGAAGGGTTATCTAATTTGGTTTCGTATTTCTTTGGACTTGAATCATGCTCTTTACCATTTGCAAATCTCTTCAAATCCTTGAAAAGATTATTATTTAAAGAGAACATTTTAATTTTTGAGTCAGCAACCTTTGAATGGCTTGAGCTCACTAAGAAGTATAGACAAGGACGACACGACATAGATACGACGCTGACGCGAAAATTTTCAAAAAATACGGGACACGACACGTGAAGGACATACATAGAATATATAATTTTATATATTTATTATTTGTCATATATATAAATATATCATTCTAAGAAAATAAATAAATGCAATATAACATTAATTTCTATAAATTGACATTATTTTTCTTTTCGTATTCTGAGTTATTTAGTTCAAACTTATAATTACTACGTCACCATGAGATGCAATTATTTTGTCATTTCTTGATGCGGAAATACAAGAACCAGCCATTGATGAACTAATTGGAGGGTTATCTAATTTGGCTTTGTATTTCTTTGGACTTAAATCATGCTCTTTACCATTTGCAAATCTCTTCAAATCCTTGCAAAGATTATTATTTCAAAAAAACATTTTAATTTTTGAGTCAGCAGTCTTTGAATGACTTGAGCTCACCAAAAAAGCACGGAAAGGACACGTGACACGACATAGATATGACACGGGCATGGCAATTTTAAAAAAATGGAGGACACGACACGTGCGGGACACACATAGAATATATAATTTTATATATTTATTATATGTCATATATATAAATATATCATTCTAAGATAACAAATAAATGCAATATAACACTAATTTCTATAAATTGACATTATTTTTCTTTTCTAATCGTATTCCAAGTTATTTTGTTCAAGCTATAATTATTTTGTCACGATGGGATGCAATTATTTTGTCATTTCTTGATGCATAAATACAGGAACCAGCCATTGGTGAACTAACTTAAGGGTTATCTAATTTGGTTTTGTATTTCTTTGGACTTGAATCATGCTCTTTACCATTTGCAAATCTCTTCAAATCCTTCAAAAGATTATTATTTGAAGAGAACATTTTAATTTTTGAGTCAGCAGCCTTTGAATGCCTTGAGCTCACTAAGAAGGACAGACAAGGAGACGTGACACGACACAGACACGGAAATTTTCAAAAAATACAGGACACGACACCTGAAAGATATACATAGAATATATAATTTTATATATTTATTATATGTCATATATATAAATATATCATTCTAAGACAATAAATAAATGCAATATAACACTAATTTCTATAAATTGATATTATTTTTCTTTTATAATCGTATTCCAAGTTATTTTGTTCAAGCTTATAATTATTTTGTCATCATGAGATGCAATTTTTTTGTCATTTCTTGATGCAAAAATACAGGAACCAGCCATTGGTGAACTAACTGAAGGGTTATCTAATTTGGTTTCGTAATTCTTTGGACTTGAATCATGCTCTTTACCATTTGCAAATCTCTTCAAATCGTTGAAAAGATTATTATTTGAAGAGAACATTTTAATTTTTGAGTCAGCAACCTTTGAATGGCTTGAGCTCACTAAGAAGCACAGACAAGGACGACACGACAAAGATACGACGCAGACGCGGAAATTTTCAAAAAATACGGGACACAGCACATGAAGGACATACATAGAATATATAATTTTATATATTTATTATTTGCCATATATGTAAATATATCATTCTAAGATAATAAATAAATGCAATATAACACTAATTTCTATAAATTGACATTATTTTTCTTTTCGTATTCAAAGTTATTTAGTTCAAACTTATAATTACTATGTCACCATGAGATGCAATTATTTTGTCATTTCTTGATGCAGAAATACAAGAACCAGCCATTGATGAACTAATTGGAGGGTTATCTAATTTGGCTTTGTATTTCTTTGGACTTAAATCATGTTCTTTACCATTTGCAGATCTCTTCAAATCCTTGCAAAGATTATTATTTCAACAAAACATTTTAATTTTTGAGTCAGCAGCCTTTGAATGGCTTGAGCTCACCAAAAAGCACGTGAAAGGACACGTGACACGACATAGATATGACACGGGCATGGCAATTTTCAAAAATTGCAAGATACGACACGTGGGGAACACACATAGAATATATAATTTTATATATTTATTATATGTCATATATATAAATATATCATTCTAAGACAATAAAAAATCAGGACACGACGCGTGGGGGACACACATAGAATATAAAATTTTATATATTTATAATATGTCATATATATAAATATATCATTCTAAGACAATAAAAAATCAGGACACGACGCGTGGGGGACACACATAGAATATAAAATTTTATATATTTATAATATGTCATATATATAAATATATCATTCTAAGACAATAAATAAATGCAATATAACACTAATTTCTATAAATTGACATTATTTTTCTTTTCGTATTCTAAGTTATTTAGTTCAAACTTATAATTACTATGTGAACATGAGATGCAATTGTTTTGTCATTTCTTGATGCAGAAATACAAGAACCAGCCATTGATGAACTAATTGGAGGGTTATCTAATTTGGCTTTGTATTTCTTTGGACTTAAATCATGCTCTTTACCATTTGGAAATCTCTTCAAATCCTTGCCAAGATTATTATTTGAAGAGAACATTTTAATTTTTGAGTCAGCAACCTTTGAATGGCTTGAGCTCACTAAGAAGCACAGACAAGGACGACACGACATAGATACGATGCAGACGCGAAAATTTTCAAAAAATGCAGGACACGACACGTGAAGGACATACATAGAATATATAATTTTATATATTTATTATTTGTCATATATACAAATATATCATTCTAAGAAAATAAATAAATGCAATTAACATTAATTTCTATAAATTGACATTATTTTTCTTTTCGTATTCTAAGTTATTTAGTTCAAACTTATAATTACTACGTCACCATGAGATGCAATTATTTTGTCATTTCTTGATGCAGAAATACAAGAACCAGCCATTGATGAACTAATTGGAGGGTTATCTAATTTGGCTTTGTATTTCTCTGGACTTAAATCATGCTCTTTACCATTTGCAAATCTCTTCAAACCCTTGCCAAGATTATTATTTCAACAAAACATTTTAATTTTTGAGTCAACAGCCTTTGAATGGCTTGAGCTCACCAAAAAGCACGGAAAGGACATGTGACACGACATAGATATGACACGGGTATGGCAATTTTTAAAAAATCAGGACACGATACGTGCGGGACACACATAGAATATAAAATTTTATATATTTATAATATGTCATATATATAAATATATCATTCTAAGACAATAAATAAATGCAATATAACACTAAGTTCTATAAATTGACATTATTTTTGTTTTATAATCGTATTCCGAGTTATTTTGTTCAAGCTTATAATTATTTTGTCATCATGAGATGCAATTATTTTGTCATTTTTTGATGCAGAAATACAGGAACCAGCCATTGGTGAACTAACTTCAAAGTTATTTAGTTCAAACTTATAATTACTATGTCACCATGAGATGCAATTATTTTGTTTTTCTTGATGCAGAAATACAAGAACCAGCCATTGATGAACTAATTGGAGGGTTATCTAATTTGGCTTTGTATTTCTTTCGACTTAAATCATGCTCTTTACCATTTGGAAATCTCTTCAAATCCTTGCCAAGATTATTATTTCAACAAAACATTTTAATTTTTGAGTCAGCAACCTTTGAATGGCTTAAGCTCACCAAAAAGCATGGAAAGGACATGTGACACGACATAGATATGACACGGGCATGGCAATTTTCAAAAAATGCAGGATACGACACGTGGGGGACACACATAGAATATATAATTATATATATTTATTATACGTCGTATATATAAATATATCATTCTAAGATAATAAATAAATGCAATATAACACTAATTGCTATAAATTGACATTATTTTTCTTTTCTAATCGTATTCCAAGTTATTTTGTTCAGCCTTATAATTATTTTGTCACCATGAGATGCAATTATTTTGTCATTTCTTGATGCAGAAATACGGGAACCAGCCATTAGTGAACTAACTTAAGGGTTATCTAATTTGGCTTTGTATTTCTTTGGACTTGAATCATGCTCTTTACCATTTGCAAATCTCTTTAAATCCTTGAAAAGATTATTATTTGAAGAGAACATTTTAATTTTTGAGTCAGCAGCCTTTGAATGGCTTGAGCTCACTAAGAAGCACAGACAAGGATGACACGACATAGATACGACACAGACGCGAAAATTTTCAAAAAATACCGGATACGACACATGAAGGACATACATAGAATATATAATTTTATATATTTATTATATGTCATATATATAAATATATTATTCTAAGATAATAAATAAATGCAATATAACACTAATTTCTATAAATTGACATTATTTTTCTTTTCGCATTCTAAGTTATTTAGTTCAAACTTATAATTACTATGTCACCAGGAGATGCAATTATTTTGTCATTTCTTGATGCAGAAGTACAAGAACCAGCCATTGATGAACTAATTGGAGGGTTATCTAATTTGGCTTTGTATTTCTTTGGACTTAAATCATGCTCTTTACCATTTGCAAATCTCTTCAAAACCTTGCCAAGATTATTATTTCAACAAAACATTTTAATTTTTGAGTCAGTAGGCTATGAATGGCTTGACCTCACCAAAAAGCACGGAAAGGACACGTGACACGACATAGATATGACACGGGCATGGCAATTTTCAAAAAATACAGGACACGACACGTGGGGGACACACATAGAATATATAATTTTATATATTTATTATATGTCATGTATATAATATATCATTCTAAGACAATAAATAGATGCAATATAACACTAATTTTTATAAATTGACATTATTTTTGTTTTATAATCGTATTCCAAGTTATTTTGTTCAAGCTTATAATTATTTTGTCACCATGAGATGCAATTATTTTGTCATTTCTTGATGCAGAAATACAGGAACCAGCCATTGGTGAACTAACTGAAGGGTTATCTAATTTGGCTTTGTACTTCTTTGGACTTGAATCATGCTCTTTACCATTTGCAAATCTCTTCAAATCCTTGAAAAGATTATTATTTGAAGAGAACATTTTAATTTTTGAGTTAGCAGCCTTTGAATGGCATGAGCTCACTAAGAAGCACAAACAAGGACACGTAGCACGACATAGATACAACATGGACATGGCAATTTCCAAAAATTACAAGACACGACACATGGGGACACACATAGAATATATAATTTTATATATTTATTTTATGTCATATATATAAAGTAGATGAATTCACCAGTATATAATGCAACAAACTAGGTGAAGCAAAGTAGGAATGCACCAACATCACACGTGGAAATCACAACAATAATAACATCATGATTGGAATCTTGAACAGATCAAACACAACATAAAATGCTAAGATGCAGAAGAACCACAAACAGATTATAAAAATCAAGGCCTCACCATGTCCATCTGAGTGGCACACCAGTATTTAATGCACAAACTAGATGAAGCAAAGTAGGAATGCACCAACATCGCACGTGGAAATCACAGCAATAACAACATCAAGATAGGAATCTTGAACAGATCAAACATAACATAAAATGCTAAGATGCAGAAGAACCACAAACAGATTATAAAAAACAAGGCCTCACCATATCCATCTGAGTGGCACACTCCAATAAATTACTGGACCTCAGAATGCAACACTGCCTTTTAATACTGGTGTAATCTGAAAAGCAGACCAAAATCAAAATCAGTATTAAGTGCCTTTCCCAAGATTACATGTCCCATATATAGATAAGATGGCATTGCAATTGATAACAACTTTGCTAATATATTTACACATACATACAGATTGGTGTACAACGAGAAATAAGGTCATTATTGACATCAATTACCCCCAAAGATCACTTACCCCATAAAATATAGATTACACCATATAAAAATAAAATAATTTAAAGCACAAAATAAATATGCACATAAAAGACCTCAATAGAGACAAAAATACCAAGCCATGGGACAAAAATCCATATATATCAATTACCATACAAAGACACAAAATAAAAATACACACATTAATATACACAATCAATACAATTTATTAATATACACAATCAATACAATTTATAAATATACCCACTTAAGATTAGATATCCCTTTTATAACCTGAGATCACCCCAACCTTAAAATATGAACTTTGTAGTAATGGTAGCAAAATTACTAAACCACACAATAATTGCATATTTTAAATAACATAAATACAAAAATTTAGAGAGAGAGAGAGAGAGAGAGAGAGAGAGAGATAATATTTACTGAAATGAATTCATCAGAATACAATGTAATGAACTAAACCAGAGCTTAATCTAAAAAACCCAGAAAACCTAAGCAACAATACAATTGAACCCACAATTCAATCAATCCTCATGAATAAAGAAATGGGGACAATTGATCCATGCAAATCAAGACTTAGATTCAGAAACATTGATCAACCCATAATCAAATTAACCAATTAATGCCCACAATTATAGGACAAAACACTATTGAAACCCAGAAAAATACAAAAACAGAAGAAAGAGAAAGCGAGAGAAACAAGTAAGCCAATACGATAACCTCCTCAGTATATTGCGCTTTCAGAGTGACGTATTGTCATCAATTCATTACCCAAAAAAAAAAGACCAATTTTGAGAAATTTGGTTTCTTCAGCAGAACGACACAGAAGAGAGAAGTGAAAGAACAGAGCACTCAACAGTTCTACTATACAATCTGAGCGAGAGACATGTACAGAGAGGCTTTTATACCAAGGTAGGACTTTTAATTTTTTTTTATTTTAATGAGTTCCTTGAAAAAATTTGTAATGCGTACGAGCTTTGTTTGTTTGTTTACTTTCTCTCTCTTGACTCTCTCTGTACGTGTGTGACGGGTCTATTTCTTAATATTTTAAATATAATGAAACCATAGCGGTTATTAATATAAAAAATGACTCAATCTTAAAAATATATATTTAAATATGGGATTGGATACTCTGCAGATGTGATATCATCGAATTCAGTTTTCTATGAATCCATTTCGGACATATTTTGATAATTTAAACTATTAAATTCTTCAAGTATATCATACACACTAAAAATTAAGTTGATCGGATATCAGAAACTAATCAATCGAATCACATTTTATTGAAAAATAATAATTAACTATTTTTTTAAATTATGCTTGTTCGTTAATTATTTTTAGACAAATGTAATCCGATCACTCCTGATGCTCCATCAATTTGATTTTTTGTATGATTGATCTTTTCAAAAAGTCCTACAAAATAAACGATTTGAATTATAATGTAAATTGATTTATTTTTAATGAGAAATGACTAAAGCCGTCAATATATTGTACATCCAATTAAGGATGTAATCGGTTCGGTACGATCGGTATTTAGGTATAAAATATCACCAAACCAATATGTCGGTTTTATTATTTTGAATATCGATACAGACCGCTTCTCCTATCAAACCGCACCAAACCAAATGGATTGAAATGATTTGGTTCGGCGCAGTTTAATTAGTTTAGAATCTTTCAAACTTGAATCATTTATAAATATAATCACTAATCTATATAAAGCAGTAAATTAGTTATTTATTCACCATCTCAAATACATCCAATCCATCTATTTAGTAAATACTTTTCAATTCCTAAATTAACAAAAAAAAAATTAAAAATAATAAGATTTTAAGAATAATAAGTTAGAGCTAAATATATAATAAGAGTTTACAAACTTAGGTTATAAAGATGATAAGGTTAGTAATTTATTATACTTATTAATATTACTATATTATTAAATTATAAGTATATTATAAATGCAATACATGCTGAAGCAGTCGGTTTTGGTTTAATTCGGTACATAAGGTACTTGAAACATTACCAAATTGAAAATTGAAAAAAAAAATCAAATTTAAAAACTGTACAAACCGATTCTTATTTAAAAAAATAGACCAAATATAATCTATTTGATCTGATTCAATCAATTTAGTCATTTTTTTTCGATTTTTCTTATATCCCTACATCTAACCATAAATCGATTGATTAATAAGATTGAAATATAATAAAATTATTTAGAGGGAAAATAAACCCTACAGAGAGGGACCCAAGGAAGAAAAACCAATCCTTTGAAAAAATATATATAAAAATAAATAAAATACACAAAAATAAAAGAAAACAAAAACACCAATTAAAACAAATCAAACCTTATGTGATGATTGTGATTGCCTAGCATAGATCGACAAGTTAAATGGCGTATGATGACGATCTGCAACAAATTTAAGCTAGATCTGAAAGCAATGACGACAATAAATCAAAGAAAGCCTGCAGAAAAATTGTGATAGTTCAAATGGTGGCAAGACACAAACAAATTTAACCACAAATAATAATAATAATAATAATAATCAAAAAAATGTGCAAAAAGTATTGGGTTAGAAGAAAAAGTGAAGGTCAAGGTGGAGAACAAGAAGAGGAGGCAGAGTCGGGCAGCAAAAAAAAAAAAATGTGGTCATCTAGCATAGATCGATGCGTTAAATGGCATACAATGAAGATCTATAACAAATCTAGGTCAAATCTATAAACTATGACGACGGTGAGTTAAGGAAATACTGTAGAAAAGGTGGCGACAATTCGAATAGTGGTGAGATACAAAAAAAATTATAAAATAGAAAATACACGGAAAAAAATGTTACCAGACGACGATAAAAGATAAAGGTGGAGAGGGAGAAAAACAGGGCGACAGAGGTGGAATCGGCCGGTGAAAAAAAGTTTGGTCGTTTAACGTAGATCAACGCTTTAAATGGCGTATGATGGCAATCAACAACAAATCTAGGCTAGATCTAGAAGGTAGGGCAACAGTGACTCAAGTGAAACTCTCAGGAAAAGATAGTGACAATTCGAGTGGCGTCGAGAGATAATAAAAAGTTATCCGGCAATAAGAAATGGTAAAGGCTAAGGTAGAGGCTGAAATATAAAGAAAGGCAGAGGGGGATAAAAATAATAATGATAAAAAAAAAAGGGGGGGGGTAAAAAGTCACTTAGAGGAATTGTGGGCACTTTACTCAAATGAGTTTTGAGAGAATGATGTAAGCCGGTGAAAAAAAGTTTGGTCGTTTAGCGTAGATCAACGCTTTAAATGGCGTATGATGGCAATCAACAACAAATCTAGGCTAGATCTGGAAGGTAGGGCAACAGTGACTCAAGTGAAACTCTCAGGAAAAGATAGTGACAATTCGAGTGGCGTCGAGAGATAATAAAAAGTTATCAGGCAATAAGAAATGGTAAAGGCTAAGGTAGAGGCTGAAATATAAAGAAAGGCAGAGGGGGATAAAAATAATAATGATAAAAAAAAAGGGGGGGTAAAAAGTCACTTAGAGGAATTGTGGGCACTTTACTCAAATGAGTTTTGAGAGAATGATGTAAATTGCAGTTAATTGTGTCCTAATCTGTAATCTATAATCTCAAACAAAATTCATCCCAAGAACACTATACAAATAATGTTACAATTAGGATATTTTATATTCTGAAAAAAAGATAGATTTCCTAAATCTGTAGCATTACTACTATAAATGATGATTTTTTCAGTTATTGGATGTGAGCAGATCAAATTAGATTATTTGACTCTTCTTTACAAATTTGAATTCCAAGCATTTCTCTAAAAATCTAAAGATACAATCAAATTAATTCCACTTAAATTTATTATTAATAATGTTTTGTACACATAAAAATTAATATGTGAATCAAATTAATTTTAAATTTTTTTTAGTTATCACTACTAGCAGTAATCACCTTGTTTGGTTTCAAAAAATTGAGTTTTTTTATTTTTCGTATTTTTTTAGTCAAAAAATTTAATATTTGAAGAATTTTTTTTATTTTTAAATGCACCTAAATAAACTTAAAAAATATAATATTTATTAATTTTTTTAAAAAAAATTCATCAAATATAAAAAAATATAAAATTTTAGTACATTTTCGTATTTTTATGTATTTATTAAATTTTAAAATATTTTTCATAAATATTTTTATTTTTTAAATATATTTGAAAAGTAAAAAAAAATTATTTAAAATATTAAAAAATTTACTAAAAATACGAAAAATAAAAAATTAGTAATCAAAATCACACAATGTGAATGGCTTTTTCCAGATTACATTAATGATTTAAGAAATTGGTTATTTAAAAATCAGCAATGCTACAGGCTCTCAGTGACCTCTCAGTGTCACGTGTCGGCCTGGGGTTGGTTGAAAATCAAAGAAGAAAAAAAAAAAACTATTTTTTGAACCAATGGAAAGGGACTCCAGCACTCCTACTGGGATCCGAAATTTTATTATTTTCAAAATTAATATAAAGAGACAAAATCATCATTTATCAATAATAGAACAACTTGTCAATGTGACAGTGATAGGCTATGCCTACACTGTCACTATGACAGTGTTACTGTAACAGCCCACGATTTTAACTATTTATTTATTTATTTTTATTTTTTTTAATATAAAGTATTGATTTAAGAATTTTTTGACTTATTTTTTAAGTTGACGCTATTTCAGCCTTAAACTCAGCTAACGTCACTGATATTTAAAAAAAAACATTGGCCCCCATCTGCGCCAAGTCTATTGGGTGGTGCCCATTGAGGTGAGCAGAGAAAGGTGAGCCTACAATGCCTATTCTATGGAGACGATATTAAAAAGAGACATGATGTTCATGATTGGTCAGCAATCTGAAAATGTGATAACTTTAACCACGAAATAAATGTTTTTCTTTTTCTATGACAATTTTCATTCACTCCTTCCCTATCCAATCATTCATTAACATTTACAACTGCATATCTTAAAGGATGCTATGATTTTTTATTTTTTTGTAATTGTATTTCTTTTTAGCAGCAATATACATCATCAAAGTATATATTTCAATTATTTCAAATTAAAGCTAAAATTAAAATTAAACATCTTAAAATGACGTAGTTTTATTTTAATTTTAAACATAGCCCGTTGAATTATCATAATATAACCATTACAAAAAGATTCATTGCAAAGAATTTTGATCCATATCTTAATTATACTTTGTTCGTTTTAAATTTGTTTGTCCATTTTACTATTTCAGACATACCAAGAAATCATTTATATTTATATTTTTTAATAATTTAAAATTTCTATATCTACGATAATTAATTGGAATAGTTTAATTTATATAAAAATTAATTAATTTTGTAAACAAAAATACATTATTTATTGATTAGATTAAAGGACAGAAAAGTAGAAACCAAACAAACAATTTAAAATGAAAGGACTGTAATTTATTTATAATTTATAATTTTAATTTTAATTTTAAGATGAAAGTAAGAAACCAAATACAATTTTAATTTTTTTGTTTAATTTTAGCTTTAAATCATAATAAATTTCATCATTAATAACTAACTTAAATTTCATCCTAAACAGAGCATAATAAATTTCATCATTAATAATAAATTTCATCTTCTTCTCCTCTCTAAAAAAAAAAAAAAAATAAAAAAACAGAGCCTTCTCTTGTTTTATTTGAGATACCTGTGTGTGTGTTGATTCAAATCAACAGTGAAGGAAAAAAACAGAGTTCGGAACTTTTTCGATTCGAAGATACCTGTGTTGATTTTGGTTATGTCAAGTGTAGACCCAAAATAGAGATCAAACTTCAAAGATCAAAGATCGGGATCGGCTGTCGGAACGGAAGATCTGAAATAAAATAAAAGAAGTGAAGAAAAAAAAAGAGATCAAAGATCCATGATCCATCAATGCAATCAGTTAATGGTGGA